ACCACCACCACATCTAGCTGTCACTTGTCCCTGGCCGCTTTTAGTAACATGACTCATGGAAAAGGAAGGGAATGGGAGCTGCTGTGAGGTCACCGGAGCCCGCCTCCTGCGGCTGCACCAGGGAGACCCTTCCCCAGGAGTCCCTGCCCTGCCCCCAGGGGGCGGGTCTCAGGACCAGGTGCCTACACAGAGAGGCTGGGCCACATCAGCACAGGCCCACCCACAAAGATGCCCGGATGTGGCCACATAGGCTGCCTTCTCCCAGGCAGGGCTGGTGTGTCCAAGGAAGCCTAAACTTAAAGTTCCGTCCTGAGGGTAGGAGGTGTCTCCAAGGTAGTCAGGCACTTTGCAGAATCCTAGGTGGGGGGCGCTTCTCCTCCCTCCAGAAGTTTTCTCAGCCTCACAGTGAGGGCGTCTCACGAGAACAATTCTCTTCCCGCCTTTGTCTGCAGCCCTGGGTCACAGGGAGTGACTCACATCCCTGCCCCTCGCTGCGGCCCGGCTCAGCCAGCCCTCTGTGCTCCCCGACTCGCTGACGCCATGACCATGACCTGGCCTCTCTGGTCCTCAGTTTCCCCATCTATAACCTAGATCCAAGGCCAGGGGGGCTGTCCCGGGGCATTTGGACCAGAAGAGTTGTGGCTTTTTCTGGTTCTTTTTCCTCTTGTCCCAGGCCCGGGACAGGCAGGAGGGAAGGGCCCTGCTGTGCAGGGTGTGGAGACAGGAGGAAGGCCTGCCTGGTGCTGAAACAGGCTCCATGGATGCCAGGCTGGTGAGGCAGGGCCGCTTGTACCAATGCCCATCACACTCACACCTGCCACTACCCTCGGTGTCTGAGCGCCCAGGACGCTCAGGCTCCTCCCCCTCCTGCCTCTCCTCCGCTCTCCAGGGTCGGCCTAATTGCTAGCTGGCCGGAGGCCTGAAACCAGCCCTTCCACGCTGATTAATGGAGCCTTTGCTCTAAGTGGCTCCTGCCTCATACTCCCCCATCCACACCCGCCGCTCTCACAGATGTAGCCTGGATGAGCTCATCTCCTCCCTGGTTCTTCACCAGGTCTGAGCATCCCAGCCCCTGCTCTCCCCAGAGGCACCACTTTTCATGTGAAGTGAGCAGGGACTGGTGCCATGCCCAGCCCTCTTGAGTCCACAGGAATGGGCCGCCTGCCCTGGGATCTCTAGGATGTCCCTTCCTGACTACCCAGACCCCTCAGAACCTGACTGCCAGAGCCACATGGGTTGATGATCTTCCTCTCCCAAAACTGATTACCACCACCACCACCACCACCACCAGGAAGCCTCCCCTGATTGTTTCACTGTCTACTGACCACCTCTCCTTGGACTGCCATTGCCCTGGTGTGACTGACATCTGGAAAAACTTGATGATTCAG